TGAAAAAAAAAAAAAAAAAAAAGAAGCAAAAGAAAAAGAGTAAAAAAAACGACTACTAACAACGTCTCTTTTTCGAATGGTTTGATATAAAGAGAATTCTTCATCGTTTGAGTCTTGATCAAGTGATCGTCCAAGAGTATTTGTATTTCGTCTACACTGGCAATTACATAGGTGCCAGTATCGCGATAAGGATTAACAGTGAATGATATCTCTTCCCAATCACGATGCATTCGTTCCAATGATTTTTCCAAGGTACCTTCCTTTGTGGCTGCTTCCGCTATTGCTTCGAATTTCGCAACGTAGTCCATCAAATTCAAATCGAGAATCTACAAAGCATTTACAAAGCGAGTAAAATATTTATTCGCTTTATTTATTTATTTAAGAAATAAGATAAAAGATAATTTACCTTGGCAAGTGTCATCGTCTCGTCGATCTTTATAGGAAAGCCGACAATTTCCGACACTTGTTCCCAATGACGGCTCTTCATAGACGTATTTCCAAGAGTATATATAATAGGCATGTGCTCTTTGAATTCCTCTATCTTTAACCGCATAGTTTCAGCGAGACTTTTCGCTATCGGTTCTTGTATAATCTTTTCTAATCTGTAGATTGTACGAAAAGCGGTTCCTGTTTCTATGTCGATCTCATCCGGCTCGTAAGTACCTATTACCGAATCCATCCATTTTTCGTAGTTGTTTAAAAACTCACAAGATATATCGTACAATCTTTTAAATGGCATCAATTTGTCGGCTGTCTAACGAATAAGTTCAATCGTCACAAATAAATTCAATCGTCGCATAGAACGATTATATTATTATACAAAATTTGTTTGAATAAAGTTTTTGTTGTTTTAGGTTAGGTAGGATCGACAAAACTGTCAAACTTACCGCTTTCCGTAAAGGATATTGGGATAATTCCCAACCGAATAATTCTTCTTCCTCATTAAATTCATCGATCGTATCCATTGCTGTGATCAATTTGTTTTCCAAATATATAGCTTTGTCTCTGTATCGAAATATCTCTTCTACGTTGCCCCAATACTGTAATTCGTTGCAATATTTCGCGTACAGCTCGAGATCCCGTGTGAACTGTTCGATTTTCCTCTTAAGAGTATTTTGAAATTCTCCAATTTTGCTTGCAACTATCTTTCTGTGTTCCTCGAAAATATCCGGAAGCTTGTCAAACCTTGTATCGCGCGCAATAAAATAGAAAAAATTTAACGAATTCTCGTTTTTATAATCGTTTTATCATTTTCTTCTTTTCTCGCCCACTTACCATTGGAAAGCGAAATTATTGAGTTTTAGCTCGATAGCGCTTAAGACGGAATAATCCGACAGCATAACGATATATTTAATAATTTCCCTTAATCGAGTTTCTAATTCGGAAATAGTTTCTGTTTCCGTGGTATGTATGAATTTTCGCAGTTCCACCAATTCCTTCGTGTTCGCTGGAACGGTTAGTGCACGATCTACGATTCGTTGATACTCGTTTCCCACGCTATGTACGTGTACATTAAAATACTTCGATTATTTATTCGAAACGTTTGAATTTTATTTGAGCAGAGAGAAGGTAAAATTCGCTTACGCTCGAGATTTTTGCTGATACTCGCTGATCATTTTGGTGACCAATATATTTTTAAATTTTTGTGCTGCCGTAGAAATATATTTAACAATATCTTTACGACGTACAATGAAAAATCCGGCGTAATAAGTTTCAGTGTATTCGACTGTCACATCGCGGGACAAACGATCGTAATAGTCTATTAGATCGCGATATTTATCGAAGTTTTCCGACGTATCGAGTTTTTTAAATTCTTCGACTTTACTCGATTCCAATTCGATTATAAAATTCTCATACTTTTCAAATATTTTTACATGTTCAATCGGGCCAACTTTTTCTCTCTCGATTAGTTGCTCGATATCTTCTTTGCACTTGTTCAAAAATTCTGTCGATATATACGGCTGTGACGATAACGAAAACGTTATATTTGAATATAGGAAATTTGAGAGAAGTGAAAATTGAGAGGAAAATTCAATCGTTAATTCTCTTAAGATCTCAAATTTTTGTGTAAAGATGAATCATTCGATGATTTTTTTTTAAATTTAACAAAAATATTATTTAGATTAAAGCAAAATTCAATTTCTGATCGCTATAAGTTATAACAAATGTTAAGTGCAAAACGGAGAATACCTGGAGTAATTTTTTATTAGGATCAAAGGTTTCATTCAACAGTGTTTCAATGCGTGGAAACACGTTAACAGTCTCTCGAAAAAAATTTAATATCGTCGAAAACGCTTCCACAAAGCCACTAAACGTTGGTTCGAATATTATCCGTTCGTTTCGCACTATTACTTTTATGTCAAAGCCACGACGCTTTTGCTATAATAAATAATAACATAAATCAAATTTTTAGGTTAGGTTTCTTTTTTAATAATACGATAATAATATGATAAATTGAATATAAAGTAGGAAAAAAATAAGCGGTATCTAATTTCAATAATAGAATGCCATAATTTCATAATGATCTTCTTCCCTGGTTTCTTTTTTTTTCCAATCTCTTCTCGTCGCAAAAATATAACTCACGTTTTTGTTGTGAAGATAATTGAAAAACTCTTCTACCGAACGCAAAAAAACTCCTCGCAATTCTTCTTCCATGATGACAGCGACGCAATTAAACAATTTTCGATACTTTGCAGAGCTTCGACGTGGTAACTCGTCTCGGTGGAGTGCCTTAATGAACAATGTAACATATTTATATTATAAATGAAATATATCTTAAATATATTATATTATAATATTTCTTATAGAAGATTTTCCGATTTTAAAAATTTATGTTCGTAAAAATTATTAATAAATAAAAATATCGCGTTATTTTTATTTATTAATAATTGAGCTTTTGTATTATATAAATTATTTATAATACCGTAATAAAAAACGCTTGAATTTTTGGTAAGCAATATTTTAGAAGATCCTCCTTTGTTTTATGAAACATTTTTGAAATAGTTCTCTCGAATACTTCAAGATCCGTAATAAATTCCCGGCTTGCCAATTCCGCTTCGCATAAAAACTTGCAGTCACTGTTGTATCATTAAACGATATATAACGAACGAATTGCATATTTTATAATTTATAATATCAAATTCATTAGATATACGCAAAAAAAAAAACTCTTATAACAAATAAATAGAATAATTTTTCTTTTATTTTAATAACTTTATGTATAAAAAAAGTCTTTTTTATAATATATATTTATCTTTATAACTTTAACAATATATGCATCAAATGTATATATATCCATGAATAATATTATAGAAATAGTTTGCACAAGAAACCAACCTGAATTCTCGATTCCAGAAATCAAAAATTCGTCGTATAATAGGATGATATAATATCAACTTTCTCTCGATTTTCGCTCTGTTCCAATGATATTGAACTTCATGCTCCTTTGAAAATCGTACTCCTTTAAATTGAAACTTCTCAATTGCAGCAAACTGAAAATTATAGTAGTTTCTTGAATCTTCATCTTTTCTTCCCTACTAACCACCGTTCTTCTTCCTATTATTAATATTTTTCCTTTCATTTTTTTCGTATTCGTACAAGAATGTACAATGTTATAATAACAATGTACGCAAGTATTTATTAAGAAATTTATTAAGAGAGATGCATAAAATAAGACGAGTTTCGCATTGTTAAGAAATATTCTATTTCCTTGCCAAAATTAATTTTCGATAATTTGCATTTTACGATTAACGAATTAATATCTAAGCTAATCTGCTTCTTCTAATTCAAAACATTTTCTTCTTTAGACTCTTTAGATAATAAAAATTTCAAATGTATATAAATATTATAGAAATATTTAAAATGTACCTCATATAACGAGGGATATTGCGACTCTCCTATAACGAATTCTATAACTGCTTTCTTTATACTGAATATATATTCATCTTTTACTTCTTTCACTAAACCATCTAAAGTATTTTTGTATATTTCTTTCCATTTGGTTGGAATACGATTTAGTATATTTTTCAAAAGATTAATATCTATTGATCCTATGTAAACATCATCGATACCTTGTATCAAATAATAATAGTATTGTAAAATCTCTTTTTCGTCTTTTATAATTATATCTTCATCCTTTTTTTCTATTTCTTTTATATCGAATTCATAAAATATCTCCTCCCTTTTTTGCTTTTCTCTTTCTTCCAGTACTTTTCTCTTTATTACATCAACAAGTCGATTTCGAAATTTTATTCTTTCTTCACATAGTGACAAATATTTAAATTTATTTTTTGTATATTTATGCATTTTTTTTCCTTTATACGTTCAATGTAGATTTTTCATGTGTTTTCATAAAATGTACATATACTTTTTTTTTTATTTTTTTTCTTTTATGATTTTTTTGTTGAATATATTCGATTAAAAAAAAATAAATAAAAGTTAATAGTTAATATATCAAGATAGATTATGAAATAAATTTAATCCCTATACAAATCTTATAATTTACATCATTGAAGATATGTTGTTTGCATATGACATTTGCATATATTGACACATATTATATAACACAAAAATTATTCAAGTTATATACAAATTATTTTCTTTTTTACTTTCTTTATAAATATATGGTTAACAGCAAAGAATATTATATTTCTTCTTGATCGATTTAATAAAATCTAAATCACATAAATCACTATACACATCAATTCTATTTCAACAATGAAATAGAAAAAATAATATATGTAAAAGTCGATTATTTCTATTTCTTAATTTAAAAAACTATCTTTACACTTCTTGTCATACTTTCTTAGTATATTTAAGGCAATGTGATAATTGATTTCTCAATAACCATCTGTTAACCTATAGAATGTGTAACTTTCCATGGTAACCAGTTTACATATATTACATATATTATAATTTTTACGTATAATTTAATAATTTCTTATTTCCAATTTCCCAGCTTCTTCTAAATTGTAACTCTCTTTGTTTAAAAATTATTTGTATTATTAATTTATTAAAAATTATTAAATTACAATACTGCAAGAATAATTTATCATTATCTAAATTTATTCTTCATTTAAAAGAATTAAATCATTAAGTAATAATGATATGATTTCTTGTTTTCATAAGTAGAATCCAAATTGTGAATTGATTTTTGATTATGATTGCGCATTTAATTTATTTCATTTTAGAAATATTAATGGATATACATGCATATGTAAATATATATCAAATTCCTAAAAAAAATTTTAAATACAATTAACACACAACTTATTAACGACATTTTATTTACATTTGTATATTTATTACAGATGCACGAGAATAGTAATTGTGTCTATTTGTACATACATACATGTAACTTCAGTCGTATACGTATGCACTTGCATACGTATACTATATATTAATTATTTCATTGTGTCTTGATGATTCGGCCATGTAATAATTGAAAAGTTTAATCAATTTGATTGTTTCTTACAACAAATTCGCAACAAAGATATTGCAATCTTGTTTGTGTAAATAAATTTCCATGCATGTACAATGCATTTCTTTTTGATTGTCAGTTAATAGGCTTTTTTTTTGATCCCACATCAAGTAATTGTACACTGAATATATATAATCTTTAGTTAATCTCTTTCTCTCTCATTCACTCCTCTCTCTCTTTCTCTCTCTCTCTCTCTCGGTTGCTCACTCGCTCTCTCCCTTTCTTTCATTATTTTTTCTTACTCTGTCTCACTCGTACATCCTCATTCCTTCATTTTTATTTCTCCTTTTATTTCTTGATATTTGACTAGCACAAAATTATTACACAAAGGATTAGCAGTTGATGTAAATACGTAGTTAACGTACAATTAATTTTCTTTCCACATCGATATCATTTTTTTTCTTCATTATTTATAATCGCATTATTTGCGTTCTGTTTGGTGAACTAAGTACATATAAGTACGTATAAGGACACGAAAGGAAACAGAATCGCATATCCATCGCTCCTAACACGCAATGTTGCAAAGAAAGATATTTCAGACATTAACATCTCTTCGTAATCTCACATTATGAAAAGGATACCTAATTAAAATTTTAATACAATTTTGGGAACAACTACATACCATAAGTTGTACACATACATGTATACGAATATACATTCATACATACGTGTATAGATATTCGGATTGACTAGAATTCTGATAATATATTGTAGAAACATAAATATTGTAGAAATTATTGACAATTTGTAATACAAAATTGTAATTGTTTAAATCCAATAGCAGATAGGATCAAGAACCGACCGTTGACCGCGATTCACTAATTTCTTTTAATTTTGCATACACGAATATTCGTGATATCTATTATCTTATCAATAGGATTGGTTGCTCGGCAAAACATGGTAATTCTGGTAGGCAGCAAACAATTACGGTCTTGTGAAGCGATATCGGTACGGTGTCCAGGCGAATAATTCTATGAAAAGAATAGATATAATAATATAATATACTAATATTATAGTATAACAACATTTTAAGCATGTGTTATCCCTAGTGGTTACAACGTGCACAATCGCGTCTCGATACACTATTTCACATATCTCCGTAATTTTTCTAAATAGATATATGATTTTCTAGAAAGATAGGTTATGTATATTTACTCTCTACATTATTCTATATTTGTATCCGTATTATCATCATATGAAAAGAGTATCGAGACATTTTAAAAATAATTTGACACGATGTTATGAATTATGTATGTATATAATCACATTAATAAATGTATCGATGGATATATTCAAACTATGAGCGCGTTTCGATGATACGCGTTAGTATGCGTTGTCACGCATGCTAAGTGATCTTATAGGCTGCTGCTACATATAATAGCTGCGTAACTACAGGACACGAGGATAAGATAGAGAATGAGTTGAATGTCGAGCATGCGTTAATTATTTAACAATGAAAATGAACGAGGACGTCCTGATTGTTTTTCAGGAATTGAGTCTTTAAAGATTCTCGAATTAATACGCGTGTTCCTCGTGAAATTTTCGATATAATATGAAAATTTGTATAACGCATACGTTTTTAAAATATGAAAATTGAGATATTCACTCATTCATCGAATTTTTTGTATACATATATATATTAATATTGTAAAATGCATATCAACCTGTGATCGATACAATAACTGTTACAACTATTATATATATATGTTATCTTATATTTTTGTTTTTTTTTATCTTCGCTTATATTATCTTAATATATATTTTTACCTTATTATATATTATTCCACTACCTATGTTGTTGATTGCTTGATTTTTGTAAATTAAACATTCAGTTAACAGGGATATCAATATGAATATACTGAACAATATGAAATAGAGAACAAAGTTAAAAAATTTATCAATCAATGGAGTTCCAAATCTCCAATTTAATTGGAATATAATAATATTGAAATAACATGAAAATATAACGATATCAAAGTTTTCGTTCCGTCCTCGAACATGAAATCATAAATCATACTATCATAAATAACAGATACACTACTATGAATATTTAGTTGGTCAATATTATGATTTTTCGTAGAAATGATATATAAATTTGACCAAATTTATTCGTATTGTTATAATCACAAAAATCGCAAAAAATAAAATCAATTTTTTCGTGATTATGTAATTAAATTACATCCTGCCAGAAGCAAACAAATTTTCGGATAATCATGAGCAGTAGTGTAAACGAAATTTATGAGTAATCAATTTGATGATTAGGTTAAGGAAGGTTGAGTCGCTACAAGAGCGATGCAAAGCTACAATGTTTGAACATGGCTGCACAATCGCGCGTAATCACTAAATTCGATACGCTCTACGATTTACCATTGCTAGTGAAGCACGGACATAGCGCGTTCAATATTCGACTGCAAAATCCACGTGCACGACGATTCCAACCAGTGATGCTACCGATACCCTTTAATCTACTTCCTACACAGACAAATATTTTAATTATCAAAAAAATTATGAATAAAAATAAATTTTGAAATAAAAGCTATCTTTAATCTATCTAAAATATATCTTTTTTTCACGATATGCTTTTCTGATGAAATGCAATCGGTTCGTTCTCTGCTGGCAAATATAATTTTTTTTTTATGATTACCTTCGCTATCATCACCTTTCTGAAACATAAAATTAACATAACGAATAGTTTGCATTCGATATCTGTTTTGAAATTAAACATTATAAATGAAAAATTACAAACCTCCATCTTCCTTTTTGAAGCTTCCGAGATCGCCGTTTGTATAACATCACTTACAAATTTGGTTGTTTCTTTCATTAATTCTTCATCATCTTTGAAAGCTTCTTTTTTTTGTTCTAGCGTTCCTGTAGTTAATATCTTTTCCCGTTCTTCCATGCTCCATTTGCAAGAAACGGTATTGTTACTTTCTTCAGTCATAATTTCTCCTTTAATGATTTCGAATCCGATTAATTTTCATTTATGGTATATTTAGAATATTTATGTAAAGTATACATCCTGTTGAAACTGCAAACAAGTATATTTGTTGTATTAAAATAATTTAAAAATAATACAAACTCGCTATACATTACTTTATATTAATATATGTAATATATACATAGATATTAAACTGTATTGCTCAATTTGTCTCACAGTAAAATAAGAAATCGGATAGCCTTTGTTTTTTCTATCGCGTTTTCCTTCTTTTTCTTTTATTTCTACTATTATTTCTTTCCTCTTATTTCTCGTTCTTCCTTTCTTCTATTTTATTTTTATATTTTCTTCATTTCTTGCTATAAAAAATATTAATTATCTATATTATATAATAATAATATATATTAGTATAAAATAATTAAACAATAAAATAATAAATATTTAATTGCAAAATAATCTTATATTCCAATTTTATTAAAACATTAATATTTACATTAATATTCTTTCATATTAACAAAAATGACTCGTTTTTCCTAAATAATTTTTCTCCAAAAAATTTATAAAATAAGCACAATAATCGTAAAAAAAATTTAATAACATAAAATCTTTATTGTTTAATTTTTCAAATATGCCCTTTTAATTTTCAATGAACATCTTATCATTATCTAATTGAAAAGATCATTATAATTGATATATATAATTGATATAATTGAAATAAACGCATAAAATATACCAAGATAATAATAATATAATGATTGATTCCCAAAAAAAATATTTATTTTACTTACATTTGCAAAAAAACATAATGAAAAGGTGATTGACCTTTCGAGCATAGATATCGAGCTACAGGTGGTGCGCATTCGTTTTACGGGGAAGATTGGAGACCGATTATCCAATGTCGGCATGCATCTAAATGGTTTTTATCTAATAATATCATGCTAGGATTGCTTCGATCTCACCCTAATTAATTTCCTTTCAACTTTTCCAAAATTCGAATCCGTTTCAAGCAACTGATCCAAATCTTCAATTGAGAATTTTCCTCATTTCATATAGTGTAGTATAAGAGAATATTTTCCATATTCTTTTTCTTGTTTAGATTTCGCTTTTTCTCTCTATCTCTCTTTCTCTTTCTATCTCCCTTCTCTTCTTTCTTCCGCTCTCTTTTCTCTTGTTCAACCGTTTTTTCCTCGTGACGAAGCAAAAGGTTATTATTGATGTGCAAACTAAATATTAGAATCGATGCTAATAATGGAAGATATTTTCCAGAAATAAGTGGCCATACGTAGGTGCGAACGATAACGATCGATACGCATGTCCAAAATTGTTTGTTTCGCGGTACTCCCGACCACCGATTCACCTCGTAACGATCGAACGTCTACTAGCCTCGGTTCCTGGCTCAGTTTGCCTGACTGAATATCACCCCGGGGAAACGTTACAGAGCATGCGTCAACCTCCGCGTGACTATTAACTATTCGTTATTCCAGTTGCGCGGTTCATCACCTTTTAGCTTTTAGGTAAAGTTATTTTTCAATGCTATTAACGATACATCTCTTTCACATTTTCTTTCACTTTTTCACTCTCTTTTTTTTCCCTTTTTAAACTTCAAGCTTTTCCCATTCGTTTTTTCTATTCCATTTTATCTTTCTTAATTTGCATTTCTGTATTAAATAAATGATAATTGAACGTGTTAATGAAGTTACAGTTTACTTTTGCCTATCATTTTACATTTTGAAAGACAGATACATAAAATTGTAAGAGAGATACATGTAATTTAATTCCACATTTTTCCTTCATTATAAAATATAGAGAGAAGATTTTGTTTGTTCTCTGCAAGTTATATTATCGAAATGCAAACACGATCGCGATAAGAACGAAAATCCAGCAAGGGTGAGCAACAGAGTGGCGATACAGAAAGAGGAGGGCTAAAGAAAAGAAGAGAAAAGGATAACAAGAAAGAGAGAGAAGGAGAGAAAGGGAGATTTCTAAACATAGTAAAAGATCAATATAGTTAGATATTTAATAATTTCTGTTTAAAATCTGTGAAATTATAATATATTGAAATTATAATATATATTATATATATCATTCATAAATATTTCGAAGTGTAATAATTTATCGATAACATAAGAAAAATTATTCAAGCAAAATATACATATGTATATTAAAGTTTTATCTGTGTTATTTAAAAATCTATAAGGATAAAATTGAAATATATGGAAATCTAATTGATTGCAAATTATTTTCTACCTTTTTTTTTTCTTACAGATATACGTATGTAATATAATTTCCAATTTTGTTGAATAATTTTCGCCGCATGATTTCGACGAAAATTTTCTATCCTTTCTAAAAAAGCCTTTTTCTCGTTTAGCTCCTGTTCCTCTTTTAATTGTTTATATAAATTACGTTGTGCGACGAGTTGATCCTTCAAGATGTATCCATACATGAATAGATTTTCAAATTTTTATTGTAAATTTGATTTGTAAATATATATATAAAATAAATATTAAAATATTTTTGGCTTACCTGAATAATGGCGTATTCGTTGTCGATACAATCTTTTTCAGTTAAAAGAGTATTTTTATATGTATAAAGTGATTCGATATCTTTGTCGTATTTTACCAGTTCATCTAGATATAGCTTTTTCATTTTGTACCTATATATCAGTGTGTATTATGTATAATTAAATGTTATATTATTAACAATTCTTTTATATTTTATAATTCTAGTTCTAATTTTATCGGTAATATAATAATAATAAGATTCTTACCGTTTCTTGTATAAATCGTTAATTTCCAACTGATTTATATCGTGATTAGATTTTAAACGAAGATCAAACTTTTCGATTTCCATTTCCATAGATTTTATCTTTATTTTATTCTTTAAATTTGTATCTAAAATCTTGGATGAGAATTCTTCTCTAAAAGAGCATCAAAAATAATTTTTTACCAATAAATTATTAAATACTATATGTATATATATAGAATAAATATATATTAAATTGTTAAAAGTAAATATATATTTTTCGAGATAATAATATATATATTCAAGGATTATATTTATTTTACTTTTAATTTGTAAACGAGTAAAAAGAATATATAGAAAATTACTTACTTTCGTTTTCTTAGTGTCTCTTTCAAATTTTCTTCGATATTCTTTTTTGCAAGTTTTATTGCTTCCAATTCTAATTCGACATTTCGTTGAAATTGCTTAAAATTTAAACTCTCTTTATGAAGAAGACTCTCCCGTTCTATTAAAAATAATACATTGTTTGTCTTTAAATCTTTTTTCAAAATTTATACAACAAAAGTTAAACAAATAAATATATTTTAATATTTATTTTTAAATTATTTAATATTATTAACACTGTAATTTTTAGGTAGAAATTTACATACGTATCATTTCATGTTTAGCTTTCTCAATATCGCACAATTTATTATTTTTATCCCGTATTGTTTCCTTTTTTAGGTGCTGCTTCGTATTGTTCTCGATCAAATGACAGAATAACTTAAGTTTTTCAATCAGTATTTTCTTTCGTGAATAAAAATCTTGATCAATTCTCTTCTCGATTCCAACATACTGTATAGTTATATGTTATGTATATTAGTTTATTAATTTTATTGTTTTTTTTATTTTGTTGTATATATTTATTTGACAAAATATAAAATTATCATATGTTAAATGTATAGATTAGAATTAGAATTAAAATTTTTATACTAAATCATGATTAAAAATAAAATATTATATTCAAAAATAAAAAAAATATGATACACTTTAAATAATGATTCACATTTTATCATTTTTTTCTTTATATATATATATATATATATATATATTACTCGTGTATATTATTTATTTCTTTCTATTTAAATATTACATATATTATTAATCAATTAATTATTCAATTATTTATCAATTACTTACTTTTTTCGTGAATATCGTTAAACATTTATCCATCTAATCGACATTAATTTGATATTTCTTCTCTAAATTAATTAATCCTGTGTATAAAATGCAATTAAATTAAATGTTTGGTTATATTATATATATGATCGTTGATATTTGCTCGTATATGTATAATGTAAACATACGTAATAGAGATTTAAAGTTTTCTGTGTCCATAGTTACGAGTTGATATAGTTATTTCCATACATACATATATATATATAAGTATTTATATAACATTTTTTATGAAGAATAAAATAATTTAATAATTAGTCATAATCAGATTTATTTGTTTTGATTTAAATACAATAAACTTCATTCACCATTTAAAAACATACTATTATGCAAAATAGAATTTTTTGTTATAAAGATCAAGTAAAATAAAATTTAATTACAAAATTTAATTACATATAACTATTGTATATATTATATATTCATATAAGCAAGTTATATTTTATAGTATAATATAAATATGAATGTTGTATATATAGTAGAAAACAAATTTTGAGTTTAAAAGTATTTTAGAATATTTAATAAAATACAATATTATTTTAGAAAATTTAGATTTATACTTCAATTATTAATGTTTTTTCTTCAATGTAAATAAATTATTAACTATACGCGAACTAAACAACATATTTCATGTAATAATGCTTTGAATCTAAATTTTTTTTTCATAATCCATTGTATAATTGTTAATTGTTTTAGTTAAATCATCTGTCGTTTGGTTGCGCTAGTGTTGATGCTAGAGCGCTGGTGCTGCTATGTCGATGCGATTGCTAACAGGTATTAGTTGGCTTTAGGTCGAAATATCGTTAAGTGTGTAGGGAGTCGTCTGCGATATAATAAATATGGCGTACCGCGGTGTGAAAGGTTCTGATCCATTCGTATCGAAAACATCCCGAAATGAACGTTTTGCACAAATGTCAAAACAAGAACAAATTATTCAACAAAAAAAGCTTGAAATACAGGCAAAAATGCAAGAGCAGAAAGCAAAAGAAGCTGTGGAAAACTTGAAAAAAACGAACGCGCTAGCTCCGAATTTGATAGAAAATAAAATGAATTCTTCCAAGTGAGTAGCTATTACGTTAATATCTATCTAAATCATTTCAAATATATTAGTGCATAAGTGTGTTAAAATATCGCAAACATTTTTATAATTTTTTTTGTAATTTAATCCTGTTACTCATTTAGCTTTATATTATGAATGAAATATAATGTGTGTATATATATGTGCGCGCGCGCGTGCTTGTGTATGAACATGTATATAAATGTCAAAGTATTGCTAATAAATTTATTTAATTATTATATATTAAATATATTTTACTAATAATTAATAATACTTTGTAAAATACTAATAATAATACTTATTGCGATTTCTTAGAAGTTATTATTTGTTGATTTGATACTTTTATATAATAATTTCTTTTAAATAGACTATATTTTCTTCCAGAAAAGATGAAGACAAACCAGTGTCTCAAACAATTAATTTATTTGCCAATGACGGTAGCTTTTTGGATCAATTCAAAAAAATTGCAAGTAACAAAGGAACAGGAAAAGGAGAATTGATGTTTCCTTTGAAATTAGAAGAGAAAAAAGAAGAAAAAACTAAGGAAATTTCACAGGACAAGGAACGAAGAAGAAATAATGACAGAAATAAAGATTGGGAGAATAAAAAAGAACGTAGAAGAGAAGATACTCATTGGGAGAAGAGTTCTGAGAACAGACATAGCTCTTCTTCCAGTCCATCTCCAACTAGACGTCCAGCATCTCAAAGTCCAGAAGCCAGACGTTCATTTAATCAAGTAACTTCTAATGGACAACGTATGCAGCACAACCATCCACAATTTATTTCTCGGAATGGAAGTCTATCTACTGTTCCTTCTCCTGCATCTCAACCTATGACACATCTTACTGGCGTACCATCACCTAATATGAGGAATATTGTAACCAATATACCTCCTCCGAATCTATCAAAAATGCCTCCTCCAAAAAATATGTGTAACACTTTTCCTAGACTTGATGATCGACCTGGAGATCCACGAATGCAAATATCATCACCTCATACGATTCGTCCACCTCCACCTCCACCTCCACCTCTACCTCCCCTTCCTGTGCAACCTCCTCAACCTGTTCCAAATACTAATATACCTCCACCAAATATTCATATGTCTCGAACAATATCATCCAATTTACAAAGTTTACCACCACCGCTACCTTCACCAAATCCATTAGCACCTTTATCATCTTCTTCGACGTCATCAACATCGTCAACATCGCCATTATTGTTGTCATCACCGCCTCCACCACCGCCTTTATTATCGTTATCTTCTTCCTCTGCTTGTTCTACTTCCTCCATTATCTCCTCTTCATCCTCCTCTATCACTACCTCTTCTTCTTCCTCTTCTACATTGATATCAACTGGCTTACAACTTCCTTCATCGATAACATCGCCGTCGCCATCGCCATCGTCGTCATCATCGTTATCGTTATCGTCATCATCAGCGTCGTCGTTGTCAGCAGCATCATCATCGAATCAATTGCCACTATCTTCGTTGTCGTCTACGTTATTAGTGTCATCAGAATCAGACACCCGACAACATGTACTTTCAACCGGACCGCAGTGTGGTGTACCACCTCCAGCACCATTGCAACCTATGAATTTACCGCCTCCAAACATTCCTCCTCCGAATTTGTTACCAACAATGACGCAAATACCACCAAGTATAATGTCAATTCCGGCGTCACAGACAATTGTGGTCAGTGTACCGAATGCATCAAACGTGCCAAATGTTCCAAATGTTCCACCGCCAAATGTGATACCATCCGTAATGATGTCCGCTCCACCACCAGTTCACAATGTGCCGTCGAGTATAAATTCAGTTCCTCCGCCTAATTTGAATATTCCACCTCCGAATGTGCCGCCTCCTTCCTTAATCCAAAATGCTGGGCCACCGCCACTTTCTTTAATGTCAACCAGTTATCCTCTTCCTAATCAAGTCGCTCAGGTACCTATGGGACCACCTAACATACAAGTGCCACCACCAGTGAGGCCATTGACTGGTCTACGAGCCTCTGAGCAGCTAGGTACGATATGTCGATTATTTTCATTTAATTTCTTCATTTCGACGTATCGCCGCGTGTTTACATTCATTAAGAACAAGTTGTTCCCTATAAAACGGATCACTTGTTCACGCAATCCAGAGTATGCGTGCGTGTGTGCGCGCGCGATACGCCGAATACAAGACAATCGTGGGCAAATACGAAACTTGCGAAAAGCAAATTCGTGCAAGATTGATCTATTCGTGTAGACGAATATCGTGTTCTACACTACAGAAACAAAAACAAAAACCAGAGTTTTAGCGTTGTTACGCATGTCTGACAAAGGCTTCTAAGTGTGTCCCGTAGAGGCTGAGCAGTTGGCACGCATCGTCGCTGAGTGTGGGGATGAAATCGAACAGGAAGCGCGAGAGAAGAATGCCCAAGATCCTAAATTATGGTAACTACTGTCCTCACTGGTCTCCATCTGTAGTCTCTTAACGTGTCGCGTTATCACTTATCACATTTTCTTTATTTCAACTTGTATATCGTTTCTTTTTTTTTTTTTTTTTAATTTTTAATATTCTATAAAAGTGAAAATAATGTATTAATAATCAACAAACCTCGTCGAATAGTGTCATTCCTTCGTTACCGTATTTTTTTTTATGAATAATGAAATTGATAATATGATAATATTTAACGATACGTAAAATGCCTTTCTTTCTTTCTTATCATTTTATTTTTTTCTTTTTCTTAATAACGATATAATTTTTTTTCTTAATATATATTATAATATTTATTGTAATTTATTTCTTTCACGAGATGGAGATAATAGTTGAAGATTTGAATATTAACGAGTAAATTAAAATAAATTTATTGATTTACACATGCAATGCAAATTTACGAATCGTTTTTTACAAAGTTACTATATTTCTTTCAATCTAAAGGAATCTAATTTAGGAGACTATGTTACTCGTCAGAGTCTTAAGTATTATTTTAATCAAGGTTTCTGCACCAAAAGCAAAGTGCAGCCTATCTGCAGTACAGGGGATTGGTGGCAAAATTTCGCGCCGATAAATCCTCTAAGGAAAGTAAAAACAGTGGTGCGGAACTCTATTGTCCGGAGGAAGCTCTCAGCGACAATGACGATAGTGATCAAGGTCCTATTTGTAATAAACATATTTCTTCACAAGGTAAATAACATATATATTTTGAATCGAGTCATCATGATGTTATGATTTTGATATTTACTTTATATTTTTTGTATGAGCAGAAAAAAAGCGAGAGAGAGAAAATGAGGATAATTCTAATTCAAAAGAGGATAATAAGGAAGAACGTAAACGAAAAAGACGTAGCCGATGGGGTGATCCAGATAATAAAGTGCCCATATCAGAAATAAACACGATAACCACTCATAGTAAACAACAAAGTAGTGGCAATTTTTCACAGCCAGGTATTGCAATTCCTGGACAAATTGGACAACCTGCTGTTATAATACCCCCGCCGAAAGTTCAACGTACTGAAACAAAAAATCCTATGTTGACTAAAATATCAAGAAACGATCCAGCTTTGATACAATATGCTCGACAAACTTTTGGTACTTTAGATCTTACTGAGGAACAATGGAAGAAAGCCGAGGATCATTATAAGGTAATAAAATTGATTATAAAATTTGATCTCAAATTCATTATTTTGATTAAATTTCTCGACTCACTATTCATCCTAACTTTTATTTAGATAAATCTTCTATATCAAAATTTATTAAGAAAACGAGAAGAAGTAAGACGTTTGGAAGCACAGGGTAAACATAAATATGAATACGATAGTGATGAAGAAACGGAAGGTGGTACTTGGGAGCACAAACTTAGATCTGCTGAAATGGAAGCAACACAAATGTGGGCAGAAGAATTAACAGCGCAAGCGGAAGGAAAACATCATATTGGTGATTTCTTACCGCCAGATGAACTTAAAAAATTTATGGAACAATATAATGCAGTTAAGCAAGGGAAAGAACCTGATCTTAGTGATTATAAGGAGTACAAACTGAAAGAGGACAATATAGGTACGTATTTTACATACGTATGCGTGAAAATGTGTATTTATGCGCATACATATGATATAATATAATTTTTTAACAACGTATTCAATAGATAAATTATTAATGTTTATAATTGTTTAGGATTTCAGATGTTACAAAAACTTGGTTGGAGTGAAGGACAAGGATTAGGTAGTGAAGGCAATGGTCGCATTGAACCCATTAATAAGTAATTCATTCTTATATCGTACTTATAATCTTTATATTACTTTCAGGTGCATGTAAGTGATAAAGATAATTATCTTTTCTAGAGAATCTCTTTTCATTATTATTATTCGATTTTATTATTCATTTTTATTTTTTTTATTTTTATTTTTTATCTTTTAATAATAATTTTTTTAACATTTATTATTTTTTTTAACAGAGCAACTAATAGATTTGATAGCGCTGGTTTAGGTTCTGAAAGACCTGATGGTGTGTCCAGAGATGATGATGAATTTGATGCCTACAGAAAAAGAATGATGCTTGCCTATAGATTTAGGCCTAATCCTTTGGTAATAATTTCTTCATATGTATGAAATATATATATATATATATATTCAATAATAAATATAGAATAAGCGTTCTTCTTATTTTATTTATAATGTTAATAAATTTTTTTCATTTTTTTTTATTTTCAGAATAATCCTCGACGACCTTATTATTGAAAAAAAATTGATAGATCATATTTATGGCATTATATATTAATATTTTCCATCTAGTTGGAAAAAAATTGTCGTTATTTTGTATATTTGAAATACTGTAAATGTAATAAGATTACAGTTATAAACCATGTTATGCTCCAAATGCGTGATAATATAATAAATAAAATCATAAACTTGTTTCTAATTCTTGTATCTTTTCTTTTTTTACTTTATATACCTATATTAATATTTAATAATTATATTAATTATTTCATAAATTAATATCAATTATTACTATTCAATTTAATAAATAATAATAATTTAATTGTTAAACTTAAAGTAAATCTAAAGTAAACATTAAAAATATACATAATAAAATAATAATAAAATAATGTAAAAAAATTTAATAACGAATTATTTATGTAACGTATTCAATAGTTATATTATATTCATAGTTCACGTTACGATGGAATATTGCTTGTCCTTATACCATTTTTGATCAGGCAAGGATAATTGACTAACAAGCAGATAAATAACCGGTTCGTTCACTTTAATCGCTTTTACATTACTTTCATATGATTATCCAACTTATGCAAAATATTTTAATCATTTATATAGTTTTTAAATTTATCATATCGATTTATACTTATATATTTATTTTTTTATACATAATTTATATATATATGCACATGCACTCTTTTTTTCTCCCTCTCTTGTTTCTGCTTCCTTCTCTTTGCTTACCTTCACTTTTATCCGATTTCTATCTTTTCTATTTTTGACAAGTTTTCCAAATTATTTTATATTAGTTTTATACGTATTACATTTCTTTCCGATTTTTAATTATTTCATTTATTTATCCTTAATATTTTTTTACATATTTTATTGCATATTTTATATCGATGCGCCCTGATAATCATGGAATGTACATTTCACAGTAATATCAAGTATGTTCTCGTTTCTCGATCGACAATTGTATCGACACTCGATCAAGGTGAAAAGTCTGAAACATTCTCTTAGAATGTAAGAAATATTCTCGAATTAATCATTTTATATAAATTTTTCTTATTATTACATTTAAAAAATAAAAAATCTGAAATATGAAGCTGGATTTAATTATAATTCATTATTATTATTTGTTTTATTTAAAAACAATTTTCATTCTGCATTTAAATTAAATTTAATTTAATTCGCAATAAATTAAATATATTATTTATAATTTTAATATAATTGTTATATCATTGTATATAAATTATTTGTGATTTTGATGAAAAAATATTTGTATTATTATAACATATAATCATTTCGAAGAATATTGATGTGACATAATTACAAGCTAACGTATTATAATACTCGCTTATCTTCATTTAAAAAGATAAAGTTTTTTTTAATGCTGTTCGTTGCAGCTGACCGATTAAGATTTATGCGGTAGTACAGGAAAGATTTTTAATTCCGGATTGCTACACTTCTTTCATTCTAACCGAATGTTATCCCTATTCGTTTCTCGTCACCTGCAACATCGATCGGAAGGGGGTATGGGGAAGGGAAAGAAAGAGAAGGGAAGTGAAGGGAAAGGAAGGGGAAGAAGTTGCAACGAAACGGAACAGGGAACGAATTCAAACGGATCGAATCGTTTCAGATCGGATCACAGCTTTAACAGAGGGAAAGGACGGAAAGAGACCAGAATGGCCGGTAGATCAGTGGGGAGAGACATAGGTACTCTTTCAGCGTAGACACGTATGTAACGTGAAAGTAACTCTTACAATTCAGCGGTGATCGGGTACTTCTTGGTGCTTTATGGTGTCGGTAGTCTGGTTGCTTATATCGAGGTTAAAGTACGCTGCGTATAGCCGTATATCGTTGTGTATTTTGTTCGTTATTTCAGGATATATATGAATGACGAAGTGAAAAAAAACATAAGAATAAGAAAGAATGATAGACAGCCGTCATATAATGTAAACTTTTTGTCTGTCAATCGTTTTGTCAAATATAATATCAAATATAATACACTTAGGAAGAACAGGGAAACAGATAGATTGTTGAACTTCGGTAAAGAATGAAACCTGTTTCATTAGCGCGAACGAATAATATAATATAATTTGAATTCAATAAAATTAAATAAAGACACTGATCTTACCTGTGATTCAATTATATGCATATAATTCATCGATTCAATATTTTTTTTTCATTTTTTTTTTTTTGTATACTTATAAAATATGTCGTGTTACGTTCCTTAATCTGTCAATTTTGGTTCGCATCTCGAGCGAAAGTCGTTTCTCGAAATATATACATAAACACGCGTTGATATATTTTGCTAATATATTTATTTTTTTTATTTTTCCTCTGAATTTTTATTTATCAATATACGAAAAAGAAATATTAATTGTATTATTTAAATGTTTGTCATACATATCTTTCTTCATCAGGGAAATGTATATGAAGATAACAATCATCGTTCGATCAAGGTGAACGGACATTAAAAAGAGTGATATAAATGGAACGAGTAATGGTTTTACTATAAAAACATTATAAAATCAAATTATGTTTATAATTTCTTATTTTCATATGTGATCATTGTGTTGCATCAAAGGAAAGAATCGGAAGAAAATTGCTGTGATCAATATATTTGCTACAATAACAAATCGCTATTTAATTATAAATGGGTAATCATTAAAGAGAAAAATCATGTACATTACAACAGCTGTTCTATCTTTCTAAGTGATTCGTGCTTCGATTAAATTAATATAATTTGGACTAAGTTGAAGTCTAACATTTTTGTGTACATGTTTAAATCTTCAATTTGAAGATCGTTTAGTGTGAATTTACTTATTTTTTTTTTAAATATATTAACAATAAATGGATGTTCGGCTTAAAAAGAAGAAAGAAAATTTGCATGCTAACAGCTAATCGAACATTAAGTGATCTTCGTCGGGAGTGTCGTTGGTACGTTTTTTAAAATCGCGAATTTTTTATTTCGTTCCGTTTTTCATTTCTGCCCTACTCTTTCTTTCTTTCTCTTTATTTTCTTCTTCCTTCTCTTTTTCTTCTTCGTCTTCATCTTTTTCTTTTTTTGTTTTTTTTCCTTTTCCTTTCATTTCCTCGTTGATATCCATTATTTGTTATATCCATTTTGTCCTTATCTTTCATATTCCTTTAAATACTCTTCGATTGTTCAATCATGAGAGAAGCCGTAATACTTACCACATGTCTACTGGGTATCGTGTTCGCTGGAAGTCCTAGACTACCCAGGACCTCTGCTGATGAACGTAATACCCGCAATGTTAGTAACAATGGAGGCAACATCACTGGAAACACGATACCGGTACCTAGCCGCAATTCTCAACGAAATAGGTAAGTTGTCATAAAAACTAATTAAATTTATCAATATTTTTTTTTTCTCGAATATTGAAATTGAATAAATATTGTAATTATGAAATATTGTAATATACTATAATGAATTATGGAAAAATGACAATATTTGTAATCTATTATTAGGTTTTTATACTATCCAATTTATTGACCAATTTTAAATGTTTGACAAAATTAATTTTAAATTTTAAAAAATTAAATTAACTTTTTTATAAATATAAATTTTTATATATATGCATATATACAAATATATTCTAGATATATTCTAAATATATTCTATATATGTAGTGATATAAAGTGATATGAAAGTGATAAAAAATAAGCTGTAGGTGTATAATTCTAATTTGTTAGCTAGAAATCCTGGGATAGAATAGAGCTCCTTTATATTTTTTCTTTCATTTATCATATAAATCTTTATTTTTTATTTCAATAATGAAACGTATGATACGATTTTTTTTTAAATATTATCTTTTTTTACTTTTTGTAATTATAATATATAAATTTTTGTTTTAGTTATAATGATTATTTATAATTTAAAAAAAAAATACAATTAATTCTCTACTTTGCTTTTTTTGCATTTTTTCAAATTTGTTATTTTGAAACATATATACATACATATATTTCTTGATTTCTTTGTTACATTAATTAATTAATGTTATGTTAAAGATAAAACAAGTTATTTATTTATCATGAAATGAATACAAATGATGGTAATTCAGATATAATTGACTTAATACTTTAATTAAACTTTAATCGTAAGAAATTAAAGCAAGAATTTCCGCTATTGTCTCAAACAGGTTTATATTCACCTTTTTCTCACTTTCTCTTTTCATCCTCTCAATTCACGCGGTATGTAGTAGCGTATATACCATCTATAGCATACCACTATAAATTGTTGGGTCGTGTTGTCTCACGTTATGTTGTCGTTCTTTTGGTTCATGTTAGACTTTCGCTTATGTAATTTCGCAGAACAACGCGAAAGGTTGGTTTTCAATAGTAACAGCAAAAATGCTCGAGAATATTTTTTTTATCACTTATGTAAGTTACATTTTATGAATTTTATCAAAGCATCAATTATAAACATTACTTTCTTTTTTAGAAATATAACTTGTTAATTTCCATCTTTTTTCCTTCATTTTTCAATCTACTTTATACCATTACAATTACCATTGTATTTAAATTCTCACGATAATAAGATTTAAGTTAATTGTTATTTTAGATATATAATCTTCTTAGATATATCTTAATCTTTTCATTATGACAAATATTAATATTAATTAAAAAAAGATAAATTTTTTCATCATAATATTTAATAAGATTTCAATATAAATTTTATAATAATTCATATTATATTCATTGTTCTTCTATCTTTAATTTTATATGCAACTTTCAACATTATTCAATTTTTTAATTTTTAATTTTTCATTATTGAATCACTTTCATTTAATTATCTAATAATCTAATTTAATATATTCTCATTGCCAATAGTACGATTATTGTTATAATGATTTCAAAAAATCATAAATCATCAAATATAATAATGAATCTATGAAATGAGATAAGTAGATAGCTATTCGAAACGAGGACATAAAAAGAAGGACATAAAAGGAATGCAAACAGAAAAAGAATTGATCGCAAGGATAGAAAGGACGATGCGGAGCTCTAGTTTTCCTTCAGTTGCGTAACAAATCTGTAAGATCTACTTATAACAATACGGTTGCGCAACATTCTTCGGAAGGAACAAACGATAATGTAACAGAATAATTTATTGCCTCATATAAAACGAATTCAATTTAAATAATCATTTTTCCAATGTTAAGGAAAAATAAAGACTTTTTTCTTTTCTTTATATATTGCATTTTTTTTTATCATATATTCTACATATATTATAGTTCATAAATCTTAAAATAAAATTCTTTAAAATTTTATAATCACTATATAATTTTAAGTATATACATTTTTTATTAAGATTATTATATTAGTGCGTCAATTTTTTTATTTTTCACGAATTATCAAATCAATATTATCACGAATTATCAAATTAATATTAATTAATAATAATTAGGTTTTAATTTTTTCCAATTTCTAATACACGAAGATATAAAGAAAGTTTTATGATTTTTTTAGAAAAGATTATTTATCTAAAGATTTTTACATCACTTTTTAATCTATTAAATTTGTCATAGTATTTGTTTCATAATTTGTTGGCTTTCTTTTTTAACCTAACGGAAGGAATTATCACTCATGGAATGTCACCTGTTGTAAACTCCCGCTATAATTCCGCTTCCAGCTTTCAAGTCGGTTGCTAGTTTTTGCTCATCCGTTTCGCTTTAGAATACTTTTACACGAATAATTCTGATAATATCCATGCCTACTTTCACTGTATGCTCATTAAAAATTTTTATTTATGAAACAATTTTATATATATATATATATAGGAACACTTTAAGAAATCGTAATATAAAAAATTTGTTCTATTATATTATAATTTAAATATCTATATTATAATCTAAACAATAAATAGTAAAATAATATTCTCAATATTGTAGAATCGATTTTATATAATTTGTATAATATTTAATAAAAAAATTATTTTCAGTTTTCTTCATTTGTTTTTCAATATAAAAAAAGGAAAATTCAATTCAGATGCGTGAAAGTAGAAGTTTTATCCTTTAAAATGATTTTAAAATGATTTTAAATAGATTCTTATACAATATTTTTGCCTGATGAAGTTACAAGCAGTTAAAATATTTTTAAAAATTAAAAATAAAAATTTTTTGTTCAAAATTTAATAATCTTTTAATTGTGAACGAGTATACATTACACACATTCTTTTCATTCTACTGCAAGTAAGTACGTACACATATTTAGGTTTTACAGAATCATAAGATTCGAAAGGACCGTAATAAGGACAGAGAGTACGACTATTGACCTACCTGCGAACTGATTGCGTAAAATTACATGGTAAGAGAGAAAGGATATATCTCTGCAAGTTGTTTTAGGTTCAATTTTATTTTAGATATGATATTAATTTATGAAAAAAAAGGATATAAATTATTAATATTGTATTATTTATTGGAAAAAATTAGTTAATTTTTTTTATAATAATCAATATTCCCCTTTATCATCAAAGATCTCTTAATAAATATTTATTCGCTTTTTGCAAATCTAAATCATGGATTAAATTGTTTTATATACATCATCGTTAATGGATATTTAATTTCTCACGCAAAATTTTGAAAACTAATAAAAAGTACGCAAAGTATACTTAGAAAAGTTGCATTTACAATTTACAATTTCTTACTGGAGATATGAAATCAAAATTTCATACATCAAATAATGTACTGTATATATTATAGTTTAAAATATACATATTGAAAATATTTATCGTTTATAT